TACTTCTGCAGTCAGAAAACTGAAAGCAAAATCTGTGAAGGAAATATCTTTTTATGGTGAAGAGAAGGGCACGTGGCTAAATTTATTTGCCCCTGAAAGCAACAATAAAAAACATATTTGCCTCAAAGACAGGTTTTGACAGGGTTCTTCTCTAGTTGTTTGAAGAGAAGGAGGTTCATAATAGAATATTGGAATATTTTCCATATCCTCATGATGAACCGTGGTTTCTATTCTAATGGAATTAATAAGCCAGAGACTTGCCTGAACAAATTCATGGCTAGGCTAAGATTTGTCTGCAGGCATTATACTGCATAAATCCATGCCTAAAATCCTTCACTGAAGGCACTGCAAGAACAATTGCTCAATACCTTCAAAAATGGAGTTTGCATCTATGCATATCTATTTACACAGTGGGGCAAAGGTTGTGTGCATCACTGATAGCAATATAAGAATCTGCTTTATATTGAGTCAGACCATTGATCCGCTTTGCCCAGTATTTCCCAACTCCGATGAGTAGTGGCTTCCCAGGGTTTCCAAGCAAGATTTGTTCTTAGTCCTACCAAGAAACGCTGGGGAAGGCACCAGGACAGTCATCGTGCAAAAGCATGCGCTCCACGAAAGAGTTAATCTGTCCACACAGCCTTCCTCTAATCTGCCCTTGGCTCGCTGGAGGGTGCCACAAAATCCTGGAACAGTTTTCAGAAAACATAAGGGGTTTTCAGGTAAAGGTGAAGAGGAAGACTCAGCAATTTCGACAGCTGTTTCTAATGAGGCAGATCTCTGACCTTCTGTGCTTCTACTGTGGCATCAGATACAAGCCAACGCACGGCCAGCCTCTCCTCCTTGGAACTCCTCCTGACCAGGCAGGTGAAAAGGGCACCAGAGCTTCCTGCTGAGCGACTGGCCAAGAGCGGGAACAAGGGAGCATGACTTTAGCTTAAAGTGTAGCTTTTGCTCTGCCAGCATTGGCACACAAGGCCAGAGCCCTCTTTCTTGCAAACTTCCTGTTCCTGTGGTCTGTTTACATCATGAAGTGGGTGAGAACTTTTTTTTCTCTTAATTTTCTGTTGACCAATGCTAGCTACTTTTGAACTGTGGTGTTGGAGGAAAATTCTGAGAGTGCCTTGGACCGCGAGATCCAACCAGTCCATACTTCAGGAAATAAAGCCCGACTGCTCATTGGAGGGAAGGATATTAGAGGCAAAGATGAAGTACTTTGGCCACATCATGAGAAGACAGAAAAGCTTAGAGAAGACAATGATGCTGCGGAAAATGGAAGGAAAAAGGAAGAGGGCCGACCAAGGATAAGGTGGATGGATGGTATCCTTGAAGTGACTGGCTTGTCTCTGAAGGAGCTGGGGGTGGTGATGGCCTACAGGGAGCTGTGGTGTGGGCTGGTCCATGAAGTCACAAAGAGTCAGAGGCGACTGAACGAATAAACAACAATACTAGCTATCTCTATGTTAGAATAAGACAGGTGGTTGCATCAGTGCAGGGGCTCCAATATTAAATCCCTCATAGCCAACAATACAATCTTGCTTCCAAGGAAGCAAGCAAACTGGACTCATATAGACATCATCATCATCCAGCAACTCACAATCTTAGTACCCTAATCTCTTAATCTCTTGTTGTTATTCACAGTGGTTGTATAAATGCAGGGGCTCTAATATTTAATACCTCCTCTTTAATTCTGATCACATATTCATAGCCAACAATATAGTTTTGTTGCCAAAAAAGCATGCAATCTGATTCCTATCATCTCACAATCCAAGCAGGACCCTAATCTCTTGGAATCATAGAATACTAAGAGTTGGAAAAGACCACATGGGCCATCTAGTCCAACCCCCTGCCATGCAGGAAAAGCACAAAGCAACCCAACAGATGGTCACTCAGCCTCTGTTTTAAAGTTTCCAAGGAAGGCACTTCCACCACACTCCAAAGCAGAGAGTTCCACTGTTGAACACCTTGTACGGTCAGGAGGTTCTTCTCAATATTCAGGTGGAATCTCCTTTCTTGTAATTCGAACCCATTGCTCTGAGTCCTAGTTTAAATGCTAGCAGGAAACAAAACTGCTTCCTCTTCCTTATGGCATCCTTTCCATCCTTTCCACATATTTATACATGACTATCATGTATTCTCTCAACCTTTTCTTCTGCAGGCTAAACATACCCAGTTCTTTAAGATGCTTCTCATAGGGCATAGTCTCTAGACCTTTGATCATTTCAGTCCCCCTCCTCTGGACACCTTCCAGCTTGTCAACATCTCTTTTGGACATGTGGTGCCCAGAATTGGACCCAGTATTCCAGGTGAGGTCTGACCAAAGTAGAATAGAGAGGCACCATGACTTCCTTCGATTTAGACACTTTTGATGAAGCCCAAAATCCCATTAGCTTTTTAAAGCTGCTGCATCACACTGTTGGCTCATGTTCAACTTGTTGTCCACAAGGACTCTAAGATCTTTCTCACATGGATTGTTGTTACCTACAGTGTTTGCTCCAATGCAGGGGCTCTGATACTAGATGCCTCATTAATTCTGGTCATGTATTCATAGCCAACAATGTGGCCTTGCTTCCAAGGAACCACACAATCTGGGCACATATAGACATCATCAGCATCATCTCACAAACTAAGTGGTACTCTCTTTATCTCTTTTTGTTTCTCATAGTTGTACATGGACAGTGACACCATTCCAAGCACTCTATTCTGCACTGGTGGTGGTAGTAGGAACAACAACATTAGCCAACATACATTTTGGAACCTCAAATGTTTGACCTGTTTCTGGGTACATTTGACCTGTTGGTTCCAAAAATGGCATGTGTTTCCCCTATCAGCTCTAGTTTTTGAGATACAGGACATATATGCCATATACCAGTCACAGTCTTCTCACCCATAAAAAATCAAGATTACCATATCTAAGAAACTAGAGCTGATGCAGTCTATCCAATGCAATTTTCCAAATCAGTGTCCCAAATAACCCCAGGAACTGTTTAAAGACCAAGATGTCAAGATTTGTTTTTGTTGGCTTGTGTAATAATAAGTTGTATTTGTTACCCATCGCTACTCTTAACTCAAGGCAAAGTACAACATGATTAAACCATACTACCACTATATTCTGGGGCTAGAAGATATTACTTTCTACTTTATTTAGTGTAAAAGGTGGTAAAACAGGTTGAAGCCAGGGTCCCCTGGGCTCCACATGGTTCCAGGGCATTCAAATTCTTCAATGATTCTGGATCATAGGCTCTGCATATCTAGTGCATAAGGACTAGATATGCATAAAGCAGAGGCATGTCCCATCCCAGTCCTTTATGGGGTAGACTGGTAGTGCTGTTCTCCCAGGTGTGTCTCCACTACACTGCAGGGTGACAAGTGTCCTGGATGCAGAGGAGTTAAGACTTAAATGAGTATTTCTGAATATGAATTAATGTTTGAAGCTTGGTGCCAAAATATCTACCATTACATTTTCCATCTATTCCAGGAGCAGCAAGGTACACAAAGTAAAGTTTATTTTGGTCCTTGGTATACTTCATTCCCATTAAAAATAAATTAATCAGCAAATTCCTACACAGCTAAACCTTTTTTTTTTTATGTAAATACAACACAGCTGTAATGAATTACAAGGTGTTATTATCTCACACATACACTGCATAATACTTCACACATAAGACGTTTCTCTCCTTAGCTCAGCTTGCAACAAAAGCATCTTAAATAAACTGAGAAAAAAATGTTGGGTTTGTAATGTTTTCATAGAAGTGGAATATACCTCACACATATAAAGTTTCTTTATATGACTCATTTTATAACAAGTTAAACTGAGGAAGTTTGCTTTAGGGGGAAAAATAACAAATTGGCTTTTCTTGTACAACGAAAATTAACTGGTAGCTGTTGCCAGAGCAAAGGGTCTAAGGATGTGTCCGGAGCCGCCATCATGTTATATCTAATTTCATTTCAGCTTTGACCCTTACTATCCTGGTACTAATTTTGAAACGCTTCCCATACAAGCCTGCTTCCCACTTTTAGAATTTGTATTTTAAAGCACCCTCAACGCAATGACTTTCAAAACTATATATTCATATAGTAAAGGTAAAGGTTTCCCTGACATTAAGTGTAATTGTGTCCGACTCTGGGGAGTGGTGCTCATCTCCATTTCTAAGCCGAAGAGCTGGCGTTATCCGTGGACAACTCCAAGATCATGTAGCCAGCATGACTGCACTGAGCACCATTACCTTCCTGCCATGGAAGTACCTATTGATCTACTCACATTTGTATGTTTTCGAACTGCTAGGTCGGCAGGAGCTGGAGCTAACAGCGGGAGCTCACTCTGCTCCCCGCATTTGAACCGCCAACCTTTTGGTCAGCAGGTTCAGCTGCTCAGTGGTTTAACCTGCTGCACCACCAAGGAGGGGGGGCTTATATTCATATACATCCCAATAAATCTGATTCTGTTTGTACAAAGGACGTTTTTACAATTTCGGCATCCGATCAAGATGTAACCAAGTTTAGTTTTTATTGAAATAAGTTAAAAGTTATTTAATAGGATATTTTCTTTAAAGAGTTAACATGTTTACAACTTAAATGTATGTTTTAAAATAAAAAAGAGAAGCAGAACACCAACCCAGATTTAAGGCCCTCTTCTTAAGCCAGTAACGAGAATATTTTCTTCCTCTTTAGATAGAGATTTTATGAAGACAACTTGCAGGAAGAAGAGCAGCACATAATGCACTTTTGTACATTTCCAATTTCCCAGAAAAATATAGGTTTCTATGAAGATCATGTCTCTATTTCCCTTATCCCCAGGGATGAGAAATAAATACTGACCTGGAATTGATATTAAAGATCATCCAGTCTTCCACTGCATGCCATAGGAAATTCACTTCTACAGTATTGTGGCTGTAGTTTGGAAAAGTGTTATAAAAAAGGCAGAGGAATCAATGTGCAATCTTGGTCAAACAAGGAAGTGATGCAGAAACACTCTCACATCAAAATGACAAACATCTATATCCTTTTCACCAAATTTATTAGGATCAAACTCTAAGTTTTGTGGAGATCTATTCTCTCAACATTTCACAAAAGGCATTACATGGTAAAGAGAATTGTATCTCAGTTTATAGTTATGCGCATGAGAGGGGGTTGCGTCTTTATAAAGAAGCCAACTTTAATGAAATGCATACAAAAGCCATTTTGAAGTGAAGATACAACTGGATAACGAGATTAGGAGAAAGAACCACCACTTGGTCAAATTGCTAGTCAGAGATCCTGAGTCACTATTTTAAAGGGAGATGACCTGAGAAAAACAAACTCATAAACCAGAAATGTTCATGTTGCAGAGCTTTGAGAGAGAGAAATGGTTGGCTGAAAAATGTTTTCTAGCCATTTCCTCAGGGTCAAGTTGGACCTTGATATTGACTGTATATTGCATCTAACATGCAGGTTTCTTTCAAAAAGTGCGAAGTGCATCGTTGATGAGAGCAGGGAAACAAATGGCTGAAATAATTGACTAGGATCATTGTAATTTAATGTTCCCTCCTCTGTTGTGAAAGCCATCCTCTGAAGATACTATTGTTTTGGTAGGAATCCTTTAATAGCTCCAATGGGGACCCTCCACCCTCCCAGCAATAACAAGTATCAGAAAGAGATGTTTTTCCTCCCAGGACCATGGTAGGGAAAGAATGGGCTGCAGTTCTTTTCCCAACTGATGCCATTGATTCCATCTCCCCAGCTGCAAATACTGTCTGCATTTTGTAAAACCTGCACATTACATATGTATATGTATTTCACTTCTATTTGGTTCTTGGACCCTTCCCCAGATCATTAACAAACAAACAAGTTCTACTTTTATGCTGCTGAAGCAAGCAAGAAAACTGTCCCATATCAGCAGTATCGGTTTCAACTTTATCTTAGAAGGCATGCTGCAGGACATCCTCATTACAACCTCAGACACTTGCTGGGTTTTGCATAGCCCGAAGCACCCAATACATGTAAAGGAAGGGTTTTCACATTCACACGTGTGCTTTTCACAGGAGAGTAAGTCCCCTGATTCCCTTACCAGAAAAAGGCAGCTTGCTTATCACTTTGGTAAACTATTTTGCTCTTGAAAGATGAACTCTCCCTCTACTGAGAACCAGTGTGCTGGGACCTGGGTAATGTAATGGCGAGGGAGTCTCCAAATGAAGTAGCAGCATTTAACTACACATGTAATACTAAAAATAGCAGGTTGTTCAGATTTACTAAGGTAGAAACAACTACAAAAGAGTGGCATTTTAACCACTCTTTCGCAGAGTAACACAGCATTTCTTATTCTCTCTTTTAAAAGTCCTATAGCATACACCCAGTCCCACTTCCAGCAATTGTTCCACACAGTCAGCAGCAAACAGTTTCAATCTGTCTGAAAACTATTTCAGAGTCCTTCGTCATTGTATGTCGGTAAAGCAGGCTTCACGATGCTCTGTGCGTTAGTTTCCACCAGGGGGCGCCAGCTCACTTCACCAGACAGCAGGAGGTCTTCTCCCGGAATCGCATCCAGGTGCTGCAGCTGAGAGTCGCAAGAGGAGAATGGAAATTAATGGCAGCTTAACTACAAAGATGACACATCCAATGGAAGGTTGGATGATTTCGCTATCACCAAAGAAGCAGAACAGTCTACACTCCTAGATACTTACCACGAGTGCCCCCAATTGTAACGTGAAGAGGAGCAATCAAATAAGGAAATGATGCAGAAATACTCTCAAGCCACAATGAAAAACAAACTGTGTCCCACGGAACCCTAGGGTTCCACAAAAGCATCACTGGGGTTCCACAAAACAGGTATTTTGTGCTACTCCTATTGCTATGAGATATGTAATCAGTGGATACACAGTTTACAATAAGAGTGATTCACATGTAGTTTGTTTTTCCACATTCATTCCATGTTTATTTTTTATTATTTTTTCTTTTACATTTTTTGCGAGAAAAGACAGTTGGGATATTGGGATATTATTCACAAAATATCAGAGAGTAAAATTCACTCAAAAACTAGATGTAACATAAAATATCAGTAGATGGATATGAATTAGCATAAAATGATCCAGAATATAAATTATGATCAAACAAATCAGGGATAGAGTTAGGGTTCCATGAAAACAAATGCATTCTAAAGAGGTCCATGACCACAAAACCTTGGGAACCACTGACCTAGATTACTCTCTCTTACAGTTTAGATATTAGGCCTGTGCAATCAATGTAGAATATACCTGAGTGAGAAGAACACTACCCTATTTTTAAAGGGAAGATAGAATGCCCCATACAGGCAGTGCTGGTCTATTGGAACTGTTAACTTCTTTCCTTGGACTTTGATTTTTTTAAAGGAATTATCAAAAGAAAATGAAAATGAATCTGTATATCACAGAGAAGCCATAGGGATGCTGAGATTGCATTTCAGAGTATTAGATTAAGCACCTGTTCTGGTTCAAAGACACCTGTTCCAGTTCCATGTTTGTTTAGAATATCAGTATGCACCTTAGAGAAAGAAATTGGGAACATAAGCTTTCACAGACTAAGTGTTCTTCCTGTAGGCATCTGAAGAAGTAGTTTTAATTACGAAAACGTATGCTACTGATTTCATTCTCTTAGTTTCTAAGGCTCTACTTGTTCCAGTGTAATCCCACTTGTCTTCAGTCTCTACATTCAATGTATTTGCAACTCATCTTCTTCAGCATCTGGCAAATGCTGGCCTTCTGGATATCATATATTCTAGAGCATTGCTTCCTTAAACTGTGAGTCCCAATTCCAAATCAAGTCCCATTGGCTCAATGTTGGTGCCATGAAAAAAACTGGCAACAGCAAAAGATTTTCAAACACCACCCATTTACACCAATCTGTTAACACCAACATGGAGTGTTTACAGTAAACTCTGCAGAAAATGCTTCAGCTACACTCCATAAAAAGAAAAGAAAATCAGCCTGTTTAGCAAGCCTTGCAAATGCTAACTTATTACCAGTAAATGTTTGGTTTTATACCTATTTTATATATCTGGGGTTGCATAAAAATTTATCAGGTGGAAAGAGGTTGTGAGTGGAAAAAATTATGAAGTCCTGTTCTAGAGCATGAAACCCATGGTAAGTCTTGATGGTATCCATGATTTATGTTCACAGATGCCACAAAACTACACCTTCATTGTTTTATATCAGTCAGGCAAAAGAATCTAGTCTGGATATATGTAGCAATTATCTAATTGATGAGCCAATCCAAATTCCAGAAAGGGGATCTGATAACCTTTCCAGTGAAGATCTATGAACCACCTCGAAGATTAAGATTGTCTGGGGAGGCCCTGTCCTCAGTACTGCTTTCCTGGCAAACTTGACTGGTGGGGATGAGAGACAGGGCCTTCTCAGCGGTGGCCCCTCCACTATGAAACTCCCTCCCCAGTGACATTAGATCAGCCCCCTCCCTCCTAGCCTTCAGAAGGAAAGTAAAAACTTGGCTTTGGGATCAGGCTTTGGGAGAATAGAGCACTGCAATAACAGATTTGGAAAAAGTGCAATGTGTATGAAATGGCATTGGAACTACGATTATGGATGGTGTGATTTTAATATTGAATGTAATGTTTTTAAATGCTTAATATGTATTTTTTTATTTTAATCTTATTAGAATTGTATGTGTTTCAAGGCACTGAATAATTGCCTATATGTAAGCCGCCTTGAGTCCCCTTCGGGGTAGAGAAAGGCAGAGTATAAATAGGGTAAATAAATAAATCTATGAAGCACGTTTCCTATTACAGCCATATTCACTATGAGAGAGCTCACTGTTCAAATTAATATGGTGATCAATAGTTTCATGTTTTTGTTTATATACACTATATTTACTATTCTAAGTTTTGTTTTCAGTATTTGCCTTGATACTGTTTGAAATGTTCTTGAGCTGTAAATATAAGTTTTTCAGTTTCTTTTTTCAGCCTCCTATTCTGTAACCATTTCCAGATGTTCCCTTTCTCAATTTCTCCTCTTGTACTTTTAATGTGTGACCTGTAATGGTTTGTTTTGCCAGGCTTCAAGATGATTTTTCATAATTTTTCGCTATATGTGCCTTTTGTTTCATCAGTGTTCAATAAATTCTCTCTATATACACACCAATTAACATTTTTCTTTGCTTTCTTTGATGTATTCAACTCAAGGATTTTTCTTCTGCTTCAGTAGTTTGTTTCACTTGTAATAACCCTTGACCACCAATATTACGTGACAGAGATGATCAATATCACTTGAAGGATGCAAAACACGATTTGCTGTAAACATTTCTAGGGTTTGTTTTTTTTTGTTGAGTGCACCTAGTCAATGCAAGGAATGTAACAAAATGATTCATCCTGTTTGGCAGGTCATCTCTGTGCTCTGAGAAGATAAGATCAAGGCAATGGTTACGTAAACTATAGGTGAACAAGTATTTTTCACTTGCACCAGTGACTCAACAAAGAAGCACAGAAACACTGTTCTCGTGAAACCTGAAGAAACTAGAGGATTCCCATATTACAGAATGTAAGAGTTTTTTCCTCTCTCAGCGAGTCTTAAACTCATGACAAAGACAGCTGTCACGAGCCCTATAGATCTCCCATCAAAGGACTTATGTGGGTGCTGTTCCATACATTGCCTCAGATAAATTATTTTGCTTATAGCACTGAAACTATATATATGATGATTTCCTGTGGCTAGACAGACGAACCCTAACCTAAATAGAGGGTTTGAGGAGAATTTTGTATCAAATATCCAGTGTTTTTCACACAATAACACTGAACACTTTAAAAGCAACTGGGGAAAAGGGCAATGCTCAAGTTTCAAATAGTTGCCCACCTGTTTGCGCACGTATTCTACCATTATTTCCAACTCTCTTGGATCATCGCAATGTTTATTGAACAGATTTCTCCAGATGGCTGCTGCGAGGACATGATCATCTGATAAAATTCCCTAAAATTAAGAAAAAATAAAACAAAAATTTTGGCAAAACAGAGGACCAAGCAGGAAGTGGTTTATATTTCAACAAATTGCTCTTTAACTGGTATTAACATCATCTCAAACTGTGGCAAGCTGAAACTTTTCAACATGATATTCACTTCCAACCACCTTTCATTCACAACAAAAAACAGTGCTACACAGGGATTATTTGTAGGGAGCGATGTAAGCTTCTGTTACCCACAGCTGAAAAGATACTGGGCTTTTGGTGAACACACAATGTTGTTATACCATACTCCTTCGTCTCATCCCTGTCCTCAGCATTAGACAAGCCAATTTAACAGGTTAGCAAGCAGATTGATTTAGTTTGCAAAAACCAATACAATCAATTCAGAGATCAGGCCAATGCAAGCATACCAGACTCCATTATTTGTTTACCTTCTCTACAGATGTAATATGAAACATATTTTAACATTACCTCATCATATCCAAAAATAGCTGCATAGAAATTCTCTGTCATGCTTCTCATGCTTTCTTTCAGGGAAACAGAATCAATCTGAAAAATAAAACAAAGATCTGAGTCAATGGGGAAGTCAGAAATTATAGCATCATCACAAACCTGAAGTTGATTGCCTGTGTCAGCCACTTTTGGATGGAGCTGAACTACCGTATTTCAGACATTCTAAGATGCACACTAATTTCGGAACCACCAACAGAAAAAAAAAACATTATTTAGACATATAAAAAGCAACTGCAATTCAAAGACACCCATTTCACCCATAGTTCATATGGTCAAAAAGTGTGTCTTATAAGCGATATAGTATATTATTATCATAATTGTTGCCTGAGACTTGAGGGGATCCGTTTTTTTTATTGTAAGGACGATACAAAATGATACTCAGAAAGATAAAGGTTGGGTGTTGATACATTTTGCATATATTAGCAATGCATAGACAGTATATTATCCTTCCAAATACTGAAGGAATATAGAAAATGATATTTGCAGGATATTTATTATTATTATTATTATTATTATTATTATTATTATTATTATTTCAGACATTTATGTCCCCTCCTTCCCACCCCCCGAAGGAGGACTCAGGGCGGCTTACAACCGGGAACCATTAGATGCCAACAACAACAATAATAATAACACAGTTAAACATTAATTAAAACATCGTCATAAGTTTAAAAGAACATTTAAAAGAGACAATCCAAGTCCAGAACCATAATTCAAAATCCATCCATTTTCAATCACATGATTCCTTTATAATTGTTACATGATATGACACCTACTCCACAATGGTAGCAGTTTCATATTGAACATAAGGTGCTTGACATAGAAAATTCCATATTGAATGTCCCTCAAGGGAAACACATAAAGAGACACGGTGATGCTATAGGTAGAAGAGATGCCACAGGACACAGTGAGAAAGAGAAAGCAACTGCAGGATTAAGGACTTTGCCTGCAGAGATCATTCTAGCATATCACTTGCCATATCTGACATACAAAGGAAAGCCATGAATAACGCCATACACAAACCTGAGAGCTTTGATAAAACAGACCAGTACTGCTTCATCAATGATGTCATCAAAGCCCTATTAATATGCATATAGGCTTGCGGTTACTGCCTTGTAATAATTTCCCCCTCAAACAGCTAATTAGTTCATGTCATAGTATCAAACCTATGGCTTATATATAGTCTTCCATTAAACTGCTATCCTTCATAACTTTATTTTTATAATACATACATACAGCGCAACCACAAGGAAAAAGTTCTTTTATGTCAGTTACTCATATTTTTCCATTTATACAAACTATTAAAATCCATGCATTTATTTTATAGGCTATCAAGATTTGGTCACTGGACTATTACTGAATGTTTAATGAAAAAGTGCTAAACTGAAGAAATCACAGGGTTAAATGATGACTGCAACCTCTGTAATGACTTAATTAAATTTTTATTGAGTACATAAACTATGATGTCACTTTTAGCCAACCAGTCTTGTTCTTTCTAGGCATGTCAGAGACCATGGCTTTTCTCAATAGAACATACTCCTAAATAAGCAGCATTTCTATACTCTAATAAGGGGAGCAGCTCTCATGTAACACACTCAATAAATTATCCTTCCATTTTTAAAACAAACAAATTCCATGAGTTATAATATATTTGCCATGCACTTTTTATGACATAATAAAAATGTTACCTTAAGGATTACTTAACACATACTACAAATGTTACAGCAGGCAATGGCAAGGGGGCAAAGAAAATAAACAGTGCCATTATAGGGACAAGTCCTGGACTTTGCATCCCTAGGGGAGCAGCTCACTGTATAAAAGCAAAAAGCAGCAGCTTTAAGAAAGAGATTAATAAGGAGATAACAAAGCTAAACAAACACGGCAATAAATAAAAATATGACTCTTGCATTGGAAAGGGAGGCAGTACCCTGGATAACATCACATTTTAAAGAGGGCTCTCACCGTACCTGGAGGAAACTGGTTAATACTAGAGAAACACCATCTCATTAAAATAAGTAAATAAACTTAAAGAGGGGCTCTTTAGGAGCATTTGTTTCTCAATCCTGTCTTCCCAAGACTGGCAAATCTCAACACCTTGCTTTCAATAGCAATGACTTCACTGGCTACAAGCCTGTTTCAAGTGTCCAGGGTACTAGAGAATTTTAATTTGCTAGCCAGTGATAAAGCTACTACTAAGAGCCACTGGATTTCTCTGGCATTGACAAAAACAAATGTTGGGCCATCAATATGGCAGTCCCTACTCCGGTTCAAAGTAGTTTAGGAACCTTAGGAGGATCAAGCGACAACACCCAAGGCTCTGGGATCCTAGAAGCTAATCAAAAGCCAATGCTTAAGCTTTACATCCAAAAATCCCAAAGCAACTTTAAAGTGTGTGTGTGTGTGTGTGTGTGTGTGTGTGTGTGTGAGAGAGAGAGAGAGAATACATGTGTGCCCTTGTGTGTATCTATTGAGACTTTTCAAGCTTACTTCTGAAGAAAACACACAGAAGTATGTTTCAGTGACTGTTGCAGCACTAACTCCATCGTAACAGTGTATTAAATTGGAACCTAAGTTTGGTGCGCTCTTTCGAGATTGAGAACCGCGGACTCCTGTCGTCGGCGCGGGGTTCTTTCTTCAGCACTACTACTAATATTTAAATTGGAACCTAAGTTGTTTCTCAGCATAAAGTATCAATGGCTCTCATTTAGAAAAGTATTGAGATTTTTCTTCTTGTATACGTGCCTTCAAGTCACTTGCTGTCTTACAGTGATCTCATATTATTTCATAACATTTTCTTAGGCAAGGAATACTCAAAGGTAGTTTGCCAGTTTCTTCCTCTGAAATATAGTCTACATCAATTGGAGTTTCTGGATGGTCTTCCCATCCTAGTACAAACTAGAGCAAACCCTGCTTCACTTTCAAAATCAAATAGGATCTGGTGCGTTTGGGGTATTTAGGTTCTTGGCTATATGACATTCAACTGCAAGACGGGTACTTGTAAACAATGTTTTGTTGCACTGAAATGTAATAAATCATGGAACATCATTACAGGAAGAAGTCACAGCAAACCTTGGGCTCATGCACTCCCCTCATGCTGCATCTACAAAAAGTCTGAAGTTTTCACTTTGTTGTCGTTGTTCTAATCAGCTCTCAACTTGGACGAACTGCATATTATATTGGTTTATTTACACCTTTCTCTTCCACAAAGCTAGGTCTAAAGGGCATATCCAAAACAAAAAGAAACACAGTTAATTTTAACTGTGATTTCCTGAAACAAGTCAGCTTGAAGTTATGAAGCTGGCTTGTCTCAAGCAATTCACAGGTAAGTTTAAACACATCCCTTGGGTTTCAGACGCAACACCAAGTGCAACTAATCAGAAATAAAAGCAAGAGCTTCTGAATTATTCTTTCTGGCTGCACATGCCTGAGGTCTAATACAACTCATCCCTGTAGTGAAAGACCATTGTTTAGCATCATGTCCAAACAGTTCTCATAGCAAAATTTGCATTTGACTTCTGGAAGCAGAAGGATACATGTAAAGACTAGTCTCTTCTGGCAGGAATAACCAGATGATTTTTAAATTATGAATTTTGAACTAATTATTGCAATATGTATTCATATTTTGCCATATATTATTTTAAACGTATGTATTCCAACTATTGCAATATGTGTTTAGTGATGTGATTTGAGTGTATTTTGATCTGTTGTTGTTCCCTGTCCTGATCCATGAAGAGGGGTGGGTAAGAAATAAATATATGATCATCATCATCATCATCATCATCATCATCATCATCATCATCATCATAACACTATCTCATTTCTATTCAGTTTCCATTCACATTATCAGTTCTGTCCACACCTGCTACTGTGTTTCTTTTATTTCAACTTTGTATTTATAACTGTAGACATTTCAGACTTCAGATGTACGTAAAATTCTGCATATACGCTGCCTGAGTTTGTACCTTTCCCCCTCTTATAAACAGAGATATTTCTAGAATGAATAAATCTTTGCTTCCTCAAATGTTCCTTCTTCCCAGCTCAAGCTTGCCACAGCACAGTTAACAGTTAAATATTTTCTTGCCAATATTTTAAGAGTGCAGAAGGTTCCAAATTGCTGGTAAAACAAACAATGCCAGACTGTGAAAACTCCTGGCTGCCATGCTCTCTGATGTTAACAAGAGTCTCTTTATTACTGTAACCTTTCTGAAGTGAATAAAAGTTATTTCTCTGCCCTACTTCTGCCCCCAAGTAAAAGGAAAAGAAGGAAAGTGAACCACAAAAAGTTACATAGTAAGATGTCCAGAATCCTAGAGAATTCTACTTTTAAACATTTATTTATACAWTATTATGTAAACAAAATTTGCTCCGTRGCAAAAAAATATGATCCATCAATGCAATGTTTTTATTYCTTTTTCAAACTCCAAAACGTTTTTTTTTTWATTACTAATGARTGGAGATATATACAATAGACACTTTATGGTGACATTTTCATCTGATGACTTCTGGAGACAGACAAATATTTTTCTTTCTAATATTGGGGGGGGGGGGTGTTGTCTTCATTTGAAGCAACATTTATCTCAACTAAGAAGCACAAGAGGTAGATTGCCAGTGTTAAAATTTAAAAACCATTTAATTTGCAGTATTTTTGGATGCACCTTAATTTGCACATTAACAGCAGAATCTAGCCACAATTAAGGACAATTTATTTTGAGAGAGAGAATTATCTACTCTATATAGTCATGTCCAAGTCTAGAAGTTTTAGTTAAAAAATCAACCCCTAAAACCTGGGTCAACTTATCCATGCGTCAATGTAAATACTATACCTTAACAAAGGGGAATAGTTTATCACTTAAATAAGAAAGGGAGAGAAACACGCATTGACCACTGAAAGAGCAGGCTGTCCGGAGGACCAATTTGAGTCCCAGAAAAGGCCGGTTGACAAATCCATTAGTGTGGCTCTTACAATGATATGGGCTCCAGATCATGATCAATTCATGCTCAAGGTCTGTGCCTGTGGCACCTGTTAGCCTCCAGAT